CGGTGAGATTTGAACTGCCGAATTGCAGCTAGCAGTCAGCTGAAGTAGCCTGCAGTTCTGTACTCTAACCATTGTGCCACCTCGGCTCTTTTTACCATTATCACCCCATAGAAGTAATGTATAACATGCCAACCCTGATATGTATATCCTGGAAAAAGATGAGCAGCGTTTGGCGGATGAGCTGAAGTTCCCCAGCAGAGAGCAAGACGTAGGTCTAGGGAAAAGAATCAGAAGCGACATCTGATGAGTTCTCAGTTCTTCTTGCCCATTTTCAAGCCAAGTATTTCATATGGCCGCATATCTGTCACCAGATTATTATCATATTTATTTTGGTGATAGGTTGTAGGATCCCACTTTTAAGCCAAATCTCTCCGTTCCAATGATCAGATGAAAATCTAGATGCAGGTGCATCATGCTTATACGGTTTAGAATTAATTTCATAATTCAGTGGTGGGTTCCAGAGCGCGCACATGGATCATACTGTCCAGCGATGCCTCCGCAATGCTCCAGCTGTTCGCAGAGCGTCACGCAGGCACTGTACGCGCCATGCGCGGAAGCACTGATGACTTTAAAGGACAGGTAAGGAGCTCGGGCGGGTGGGTGGGCCCTCCGGGCAGGCTCCAGTACCCCTGTACCAGGGCGTACTGCCTGCAACCACCACTATCACAATCCATTTAAAAGATATGATGGACCTGTTTGATCTTTCACTGATGGTGTATCACTGAACCATCACTGTTCATTCTATGCCCTGGCTCTCATACAATATATTTAACTACAGTATAGTTAACTAAAATATAGTAATTTATTTAATTTTCCGAGACTTTTGGATGGGCATGAGAGACTAAAGCATAAACAAACTGTATCATATAGGTATGCATAATGGGCAAGGTTAAAACTGTAGATGGTTACTTAGGAATTTTAGGATGTCATGAATGCAGCTCATCTGCAGTTCACTTGTTCCTTCCATTAATTTTATTCCCAGAAAGCTAAATCTACTGTTGATAAAGCTATAATTCTTTCTATAATTTACTTTGCCTTTTATTCTTTTATACTTTTTCTGTACAAAAGATAGAAGGTACAGCATTCATACATCAATGAACTTGCGCATGGTAACATCAATTTGGTTCAGAATTTTGGGTGATTCATAGACAAAATCCTTAATTGCATCCAGATGGTTGAAAGTGATGAGCAGAAGGTCCTTGGGTCGAGGGCAGAGGAGAACTTGGTACTTGAAAGCCATAGTCATTAGATCATAAAGCTACAGAAGAACCAAGAGATATCAGTTAATCATAGAGGCCAGATCAGCGTGGCAGCATTTATAAAGTTACTTATGTTTTGCTAGAACACAATAACTGACTTAGCATCTCATTTTAATACAGCTAGCAGGATTTTACTTGAAGAATATCAATGATCCTGGTTAGCTTTCAGTGCAATGTTTGTTAAAATGCAGGAAATACATTCATGCCCAGGACCTACCAACAATATATTGCACATTATTTACTTAAATGCATATGGTGATGGTTAGAATTAAAAATATTAAGATATACAGATAGTCCTTGACTTACAACAGTTCATTTAGTGACTATTCAAAATTACGACGACATTGAAAAAAGTGACATGACCATTTTACATATGAGCGTTGCAGCATTCCCATGCTCACATGATCAAAATTTGGATACTTGGCAACTGGCATGAATTTATGACAGCTGCAGTGCAGTGGTGGGTTCTGTGTGGTATGGCCTGGTACGAGCCGTACTGGAATGGTGTTTTGTTGGGGCCACCCACCCGCGTTCCTTATCTCTTTTTGAGGGAAATGGGCCAACTGCAAATGTGAGCACAGCGTACTCCGCTGTGACCTTTTATAGCTGCTGCAGTGTTGGCTACTTCTTGTTTCTTCCTGGGGGAAAAGATACAGGAGGGGACAAGGATGCAGCTTGATCATACAGGGCGTGAATTTAGTGCATGTGTCGTCCAACCAGCTGTATTGCTTCTGCTGTGAAGCACCCAATTTAGAACATAGAGAACATAGAATAATAGTTAATGGCTTTAGTTAAGGGTTAATGGCTTTTGCCAGCACACCCAGGCTTTCAATTAGCTTGAGCAGCTGCTCTTAGTTTCCCTTTCAGCTGCTGCATTTGCTTTGGGTTGACTTTTTTAAAAAAGGGGAATGGCTGTTTTAAGTTTTCTGCATTGTTTTAGTGGTGCCAGCACTGTCCTTTTGGGGTGTACTTCCCTCACTCTTTTTGAAAGCCTCTAGTCATGGAGCACCCACAACTTCTGAAGACAAGCTATTCCATTCGTTGATTGATCTCACCCTTAGGAAATTTCTCCTTAGTCCTAGGTTGCTTCTCTCTTTGGTTAGTTTCCATCCATTGTTTCTTGATGTGCTTTCGGTGCTTTGGAAAATAGACTGACTCCCTCATTTTTGTAGGAGTCCCTCAAATTTCCTGACAGAACAATTAATCAATGGAACAATGTTCCTCCAGAAGTTGTAAATGCTTCAACACTGGAAGTTTTTAAGAAGAGATTGGACAATCATTTGTCTAAAGTGGTGTAGCAAGGTTTCCTGCCTAAGCAGAGGGTTGGACTAGAAGACCTCCAAGGTCCTTTCCAACTCTGTTATTCTATTCTATTCTATTCTAAATATTGGAACAGTGCTATTTTATTGTGCTTTTTTATTGTGAGTTGGACTAAGGAGAAATTTCCTAAAGGTGAGACCAATCAAGTTGTCATGCCACTCAGTCACGCGACCCATTTCCCACAGAAAACACAGGGAGCCACAAAACCAGATTAGGTGTGGCTGGGTTTTTTTTCATGTGACTGGGTGGGAGTGATATTGAGTTGGCCACACCCACCCGCTCACATGGCCACCAAGCCACGCCCACAGAGCTGATAGTAAAAAAAATTAATCCTATCACTTCATGTTACTAATTAAACAACTGCAGCGATTCACTTAATTGTAAAAAAAAATTGTAAGAAGGGCAAAATTCATTTAACAACTCTTGCTTTGCAATAGAAATTTGGGGCTCAATTGTAGTCGTAAGTCAAGGACTTCTTGTAATAAACAGTGAAAAAGAACAGTATGAAATTAATTGAAAGCCCTCAGCTGATAAAGCAAATGATTTGAAATATCTCAGCAGCAAACTTACTAGACATTATCACACCTTCATTCAGATATGTATCTAAACATAAATCTTAAATGTATATGTATACTTTATATAATATAAAGTAAATAGGTAAGTATTCACTTACCACATAGTTTCTTGAAAAAGATTATAAATAGTTCATTGAAGAATACACATGTAAATGCATTAATTCAGATGCTTTCCCTAGCAATGAAAATCTTGGTAGCTATTTTGCTCAAAAAGAGTATTGAAGAAAAGTGATACGAATGGAAATCGGCAAATGAGAACTGAACATACAAATGAGTGAAGCTGAAGCTGAGCGTTCAGATTGCCATTTTGGAAGGCTGATGAGGACAAGCTATTGGATGGACAAGTCCAGGGAGGACGTGTTTCAAGGGCTAAGCTCACTTGTTGGTTAAGAAAGCAGAAAAAGACAGGTAGACATTTCATAAGACTACATGACACCATATTTTGTCCTTAGCTATAAAGTCAGTAGCATTGATGTGATTAAATACATGCACTGAAAATCAGTATTTCAGATCATTTCTCCCCTTCCATGTGCATCTATGTTTCAAGTTGTGTGAACTTAACAATGGCTTTTTTTGATTTAAAAAAAAAGGGTTACCCAGATTCATAAGAAGACATCTAGAGAAAAAGAAAGGTTTGACCTTACCTTATCCATACTGGGGGCATTTAGTCTCATGATGGAGGCATGAACCAACCGCTCAAAAACTGCCCTTAGGGCTTTCCTGGAATAGAGTTCCTGTGGCTTAAACAGCTCATCCATAAAATTTTTATTGAAGATGCCCCCAATGATGTCATTCATCACTGAAAAGATAAAATAATAATAATTGTTAGAAATCAATTGTTTTAGTTTCCTCAGGAAAAAGCAGGTGTTTTGCAATTTAGAAGACTTGCTGGCAAGGCTGCTTTTTCACTTGAGCTTCCTTGCCCCCAGAATATCCCTCCTTTGAACAAGAGGCATGCAGAAGATTATTTCCTGATTTCTTGCTGGGGATTTCACTAGACTGATAGCAATGCAAGAATTGGAAAACATTTTCTTATATTTGGAAAGGAGATGGTCAAAACTGCTTCACCATTGTTCCTACAGCAGGTAATTCCTTCTTTCAACAAGGAATTGAAAGGAAATGTTTGCAAAATCCAAGAGGCATATTTTTTACCTTCAGCAGTTATAATTTGCAACATTAGTTTTTGCATTTCCATACTGCTTCAGTTCTGCTTCTTGCAGTTGTGACAAAAACATTTTAAATATGATGTAATTTATTATGAAAAATTATTATATCTCAATTTTAAGATTCTGCAATTAGTTGGGCTAATCTCCTCAGTCATTAAAGATCCCTTTTTCTTATGAAAGTCACATTTTAGGCATAGTACCGTAGTTTAATTATCAATATTTGGATGCCCTACTTGCCAGGAGAAATATTCACAGTGGCATTCAGTAGTATTACTTAAACATATGTTTTTTTGTTTTTTTGTATCCTGTCCATCTCATAGTTTGAGGCAACTCTGGATGGAGTTGTTTTTCCTGCCCCATGAGATCCATAATCTGGATCTCCTGGCTTTGAAGAACTCTCTACTCCATGAATTACCAGGCGTTAATGACCTTCAACACTGAAGTTACTGACTTTCTAACTGTGATTGTGTATGGGAGGGTCAGATACCAAACAGGTTGGAAATTATCAGCACTGCATCATCAGGTCTAAAATCAGATTCAAATTTATTACAGAAGAGTTGGCGGTCCTTGAAGTTGATGAAGACACTGTTAAGTATTATCCAATATTGTCATTTTCCCTTTCCATGGTGGAGGGAGACAAAAATTGAATTTCTTCAGTTCTCTGCACAACTGTCAAATCAATTGTGACCCCACAACACACTTAACTAGACCTGTTGCAAATGTATTGGCTGCCTTTGCACAGCTTACTCTTAAACTGAGGTGTGGGTTTTTTTTAGAGATTCATATGAATATACTTTAACCTAGCTGACATGATTGAGTGAATTATGCAAAACCAGAAAATGGATTAAGGGCATTGTATTCACAACAATGCCTTTTCTATCTGCCATTTTTATTTTTTCCCTATATTCAGCCTAGCATCCAATTGATGTTGCTAATCATAGAATCTACAGAAACAGATATGCAGCACAATTCCCTCTGGACAAACTTTGAAACATAAAATATCTATACAAAAGCCTTCATCACTATTGTTTGTGTGTTGACGAGACTCCAAATTAGAAAACCTGTTAGCCATTCAGTACTGACCCAGTGGAAGAGCCTTTTGCATTGTGCTACCTCCACCACACAAGCCATATTCAGAGGGTAGGGGGTAGGTGCTTAATGCCTCATTTTTAACTGGGCATTCCTGAATTGCTTCAGGACCTGTAGCAGAAGGTTGCTGCAATTTGCACTTGGAGTGCCCTGAGACTGAACCCCCCAAGAAAACGATTACAAGACAGGAAAGCTACGCAGCCACTGCATTGTACATTTACCATTTGGAGCAGTTCTTTTTATAAACCTGTTGCTCAAATCTATGCACATTAAGCATTTTTTTCTTAAATAAATGATTATCCCCTAATTTACCTGCAAGTACAGCATAGGTAAGCGGATCAAAGGTAGCACACAGGTAATAATTGTGGTTGTCACTAGTGCCCACTACAAATTGCAATGATGTCAAATACTACCATTATATACATGAGTTCCAAACATCTGATGCCATATCCCAGGCAGGCAGGCAGGCATTTCCATGATAATGCCACACATGTGCTGTTATTTACTCCCCACAGACACTCATTGTTACAGTCTGCTTTGCATCCCTATATGTTAAATTGATTACACAAACAAAAATTTTATGACAGTATGAACAAATGCAATAGTCATACTGAATGGTACTGAAAAGATCTTCAAACAATAAATTTTGGAATAGAGCAGATTTCCCCATCTTGGTGTCTTTTCAGATGCCTTAGAGTGGAAATTTCATCATCCCCAACCTTGCCCATGATCTCTGATGATGATGGAAAGTGAACCTATACATCTGGAGGGCACAAATTTGTGAAGATTAGATTAGAAGTAGCAAATTAAGGTAGTTATCTGCAAGAATGGTTGCCCTGGTTACTAAGCAGAGGTTCTACAGCAGAAGCAACTGATAGTAGTAGGGGAAACAAACTGGACCAAAATGGTTTGCATTCTGCATATGAACAATTAGACATTATTCATGCAATCCATAGGGTTTCATAGCATTTTAGAGTTGGAAGGCTCCCTTGAGGCCTTTACACAGGGCTACATTTGAAAACAACATGGAGGCTAAAACTGGTACATAATGCAGTGACTGCATCATGCCCGCATGCCAGACTTGCTACTGCACACTCACAGAATAAAAGGAGTTGGAAAAGAGTCTGGAGATCATGTAGTCTAGGGCAGTGTTTTTCAACCACTGTGCCGTGGCACACTAGTGTGCCGTGACATAGTGTAAGGTGTGCCGTGGGAAAAACACTTTATATATAGTCAATATAGGCACAGAGTTAAAAAAATTTAACATTTTCTAATGGTGGTGTGCCTCGTGATTTTTTTCATGAAAAAAGTGTGCCTTTGCACAAAAAAGGTTGAAAAACACTGGTCTAGGGGTCAGCAAACTGCGGCTCTGGAGCCGCATGTGGCTCTTTCCTCCCTCTGCTGTGGCTCCGTCACCTGTTGGCGCCATAATTTTGAGAGGCGTTTCCGGTGGGGGGGGGGAAGAGAAGCACAGTGCGCCAGGAGAAGACTCTATGGCAAGGGGAGGGTTTTCCAGTTGTCTCTACAATTGATAGGACTTTCGGTTATGACAGGTAGAGTAAAAAGTACACTGCACTAGGAGGAGATTCTTTAGTGGGGGAACTGAACTTCTGGTCAGCTCCAGAATTGAACAGGGGGCTTCTGGTTAGGACCTTTGTGGCTCCCAGTGTTTTCTTTTCTGTGGGAAATGGGTCCAAATGGGTCTTTGAGTGTTTAGGTTTGCCAACCCTGATGTAGTCCAACTCTTGCAAGAGCCCATAACATCAACATGCCTGATCAATGACCATTCAGTCTGTGTAAATGCCTTTAGCAAAGGAGAGCCTACTGTTCTCTAAGGCAGTGTTTCTTAAACATTTACACACACACACAGAGACGCATTCCTTGTCACTACCACTTACCAATTTTCATTTGATAGGATATTAATACTGATATTTTTCAACATAGGCTGGCAAATAAATTCGATTATGTGGACCCAAGAGGGGTACTAGAACCACATTTTAAGAAACACTGCTAATAGGAGTCTTGTTTCATTGTTGAACAGCTCTTACCAATACATTTTTTCTGATATCTATTCAAAATTGATTTCCTTGCTATTTAAACTTGTTTCTTGTACTGTTTTCTGAAATAGTTCTGAATAATTCTGCCCTGCCTTCTTACATGATAGCCTTTCAGATACTCGAAGACATATCCCAACCTCCAAACATTCCTTGCAACATTTTCCTTGCATTCTTACTATATTGATTGCATTCCCATGGACAAACTCTAGTTTATCAATGTCCTTCCTAAAACACAACATACAGGGATGGATACAATATTCTAGATGCAGTGTGGCCAATGCAAACAGCTTAAATTTATCTTGTTGATCGGAGTCATTCTTCAAGTTGTCACACCCTCCTGATTTCTGGTATTATCCTCTAAAACAGTGGTTCTCAACCTTCCTAATGCCGCAACCCTTTAATACAGTTCCTCATGTTCTGGTGACCCCCAACCATAAAAATTTTTTCATTGCTACTCTATAACTGCAGTACTTCTGCTACTGTTATGAATCGTAATGTAGATATTGATATTGGAAGACTGCTATCATATCACCCTTAAATCCATCTTTTCATTCAACCAAACATACCCAGTTCCTGCAACTGTTCTTCATGTTTGAGCTTCCAGTCCCCTAATCCTCTTGGTTGCTCTTCTTTGCACTATTTCTAGACTAGTCTCCACATCTTTTTTATAGAGGCAGCCAACATCTTGTCTGCTCCTAAATTTTGGGTCTGAAAAGAATCTCGTCCTGGAGGCTGGACAACCTCGGCTGCTATATACACACATACACAGAGACCAGAGGTGGGTTCCTACCAGTTCGCACCTATTTGGTAGAGCCGGTTTGTCAAATCTATCGAACCGGTTAGAAGAGGTTCCACCAGTGGACCCGGAAAGCAGGCCACACCTACAGAAGAGGTTCCAAAAAATTTTGAAACCCACCACTGACAGAGACACACAGTGGCTTTATTCCCACAGCCTCCTTAACTAAGTTGCCTGCAGCTGCATTCACAAACTTGCTTATCCTGCCTGGATGGATCTTCAACCTGGTTTGGGGTTGTTTGCAGGAATGCTCTTAACCTTGGTGGTGGTGGTAAGCTTAACCTTAATTTATTAGGCAAACATCATACATTGTTTATTTTTAATTTTTTTTAAAAAAAATATTTTCTCTTTCAAGTTCATTCACAAATATACACTCTTATAATTACCATTAATTATATCATCATCATTAAGCATTTATCGTTATTTTCTTACAAATATATAGAACCCAGTTTGGGTTACTTTCTTGCCACCCCATTTTATTTTGCAACAACCTTGCTCCTTCTATCTTCTCTACCTCCCTTCTCTGCCTTCTTCTTCTTCCTCCCTTCTTCTTCGCCTCTTTCCTCCCCTCCTCCTCCTTCTTACCCTCTCTCCTACTCTTACTTCCCCTCCTTTGCTTCCCCTGTTTTACCCTTTCTTCCTTTCCCTCCTCTCTCCCTTCTTCTTCCCCTCCTCCTCTCATCTCCTCCCTCTTACCCTCTCTCCTACTCTTGATTCCCCTTCTTTGCTTCCTCTGCTTTACCCTTTCTTCCTTTTCCTCCTCATCTTTCCTCCTTTTCGTTGTTGCCCTTGCTTATTTACTTTCTCTGATGGGTTCTCGGGGTGGCATTTCAGGAAACCCAACTTTATATTTTCATACATATCATTTTCTCTGTTACATTTTATTTTTAATAGTAATTCTACTTGTATCATTTTTTAAATTGTTTATTTGCATTGCATTTTATTTTTGCTCTTTTCCTTTGTGCATGGTTTATGGTACTTTTAGCAAGCAGGTTTTCATTGTGTGAATGGTGCCAATTTGGGCTCCTGAGCTTGGCTCTTGATGACAGGTCTGGTTGTGGATTTAGATATAGTTAAAAGTACCTGGCAGCGGTGTGGAAAACATAGCCGCGTGCACGCCCTGCATAATTACAGCCTGGAGCAGGACCTAAGCCCCTTCCTCCCTTGCAGGAACACTTTCCCACCATTACAAAGTCTCCAAGGCTAATTGTACGGGGTGTGCACGCACACCTATGTTTTTTATGGCGTGGAGCCATGGTGATGCGCTGCACGCCCATTCTAGAGCCCATCCACAGGGATTTCAAGGAACGCGAGGTGAAGTCTAAACTTTAGAGTTGCACTGGTCTCAGCAACCCCTGTGAAACGGTCGTTCGACCCCAAAAGGGGTCGCAAGCCACAGGTTGAGAACCGCTGCTCTAAGACAATGTTTCTCAACCTGGGCAACTTGAAGAGGATGGACTTCAATTCCCAGAATCCCTCAGCCAGCAATACTAAATTCTATTCTATTCTAAGTTCTCAGTGTACGTACAAACAATAAGTGATAAATCATGATCATAATAATCATAAAATATATTCATTATAAATCATATAACACTTAGTGATAATCATAGGATACTAAATAAGCAATCAACACAAATCATACTAGGATGCTAAATAAAACAATATATTTAAGATACAAGCAACAAAGTTATAGTCGTAATGAAATAGATAACAGGAAAGATGAGAACAAAAATAGTAATACAGTCCTACTAGGTAGTTTGGCAGTATTGTGGGGATTAGTTGTTTAACAGAGAGATGGCATGGCGGGGAGAAACTCCTTGTGTCTGTTGTTTTGGTGTGCAATGCCCTATAATGTTGTCTTGAGCGAAGACATTGAAACAGTTTATGTCCAGGATGTGAGGGATCTGTAGATATTTTCACAACACTCTTTCTGGCTAAGAGGTTTTACTAGTTCCTCATCTGTTCTATTTCTTCATCATTGAACAACATGATGCAGACTTACTTAAAATGCACTGAAGCATACCTCTTGACAGAACAATACCTTTCTCTAGTTATTCCGAGCCCAACTCAAAATGCTGGTTATTATTTATAAAGACATTTATAGTATATTTACAAGTTACATCAAATACTACTTTTTGCTACATTATTCTGATTCTCATATTGGGTAATTACAAGGGGCCTCTTCAAGGTTACATCATCTTGGAAGAAAGGGGTAATTAGACAAGCAGGCAGCCTTTCTTTGTGGCCAATCCTCATTTGGTATTTATTTCCAGTACTGACATTGTACAATACTGTGAAAACAATTTTTCCCTGTAGACCTTTGAAGCTTAATAGCGACTGGGTTTGTTATTGTTTCTTCCTTTATATATTTTATGTTTTGGGAGGAATAAAATGTGATAAGCATGGTTATGATTTCAGTAAACAGGCTTTTTTAGTTTTGTACTTTGACTCTCAAATTTGCTGATATCAATTAAATGTTTCAAAGAAGTAACTGCCAACCTTATTATAATGAAAGTGTAAGATGACAGAGGGCTCTATAAGATGTCTTCTTCTGACTGGGTTTGCTTCAATATCACTCCATATTGATTTAAAATCCATACATTTATTTATATGGTGGGAAAAGAGTAATGTTT